TGTTCAGCAAAGAGCTGCAGCTTTGGACAAGCTTTGGAATGCATCTGGCCATTAAAGCAGCGTTTTAGTCAGGGTTGTGCAAGTGTTAGGAGTTGCTTCCCAAAGGTAAATAGAACCAGTGAGAACTACCTGAAATCCGTGTTGGGAAATTGCTCATTCTTGTCTGTAGTCTCTGGTTATTTAACACCAGCCAATTGTGTTATGTTTACAGGATTAAACTCCTTGTCAGCTTGAGATCAGCAGCTGAAGGAGCTCTTGTTGGAGACAAACTGCCAGTGCCTAGTAGAGATAATGTGTAAAAATGTAATCTCTTGCAGAATATCACCAAGCTTGCTCACGTTTGCCAGACCAAGTCCAGTGTTTCTTCCAGAGTAAAGCAACAGCTGGAAATGAAAAGCAATTCTTCTGATCTCCAGCACAGAGGGACCTTTTGAAAATGGTTCTTTGTTTTGCTTTAGATGTGTTCAGAATCCTCAGATTGAAATTAGAATATTTAAAGCATTTTGTATATTTGTATATTCATATATATATATATTTAAAACATATTGTATATCTAATATGGGAAGCATCCAAATAAACAAGATATACACCCTTTGCTCTTCTAGCACATGTGACATCAGTTTCATGCAGAAGTTTTAAAATAATAGTTTAATATAAATAACTGTTCAAACATAAGTATTTAAATGGCCTAGTCAATGTGCAATTTTTTCTTTGGTTTGGGTTTTTGGATTGTTTTTTAAAGTAATCTCAGAGTAATTCTGTGGGAAAGAGATGTTGCAAGTTATGTGTAGAGAAAGGTGTCTGGTTAGAAGTGGAGAATGTTGGGAGAAGAGTTTCTGTTGTGGAAGGAAAAACTGATAATCTCTCACTACTTATTCAATGAAATTCCAGAATTGGGAAACATGATATAAAGCAAATGCGACCGGAGGTGTTTTATGAAAGTGAAAAATCTGTTTAGTGCCAAGTGCAGTGATTTGTTTAGTCACACTTTCAGTACCTGCAACTTTGATTTTCCTGTATTTAAAAATTTATCGCCACGTCTAAAATTGTCTTACACAATGCCATTGGTCTTCTGGAAATGGTAAAGCTGCTCATTGATTTTCTAATTTTACTATATAGACAATAATTGTAATCCAAGATTACAGCAAACAAGATGTTAATTTCTAGACAACCTACGTACATTTCCCTCAGAGCGCGGGTGCTACAGAAGCAAAGAGTACAAAGAGAATCCCATTTGTGCTATCCTCACAGGAGCTGTCAATAAAAGATGTAATAGGGGATTTAGGAATCTGGAAATGGCCAACTAATTTATGTGAATCTATTTTATTTCAGCTAGAAAGCCCAAGCTCTGTTTCGTCTGCACTGCATATTGCAGAGCACAGGCTGTCTATAGAAAACCAGGCGGCTGCATATGGATAGTCCCTTGATATCATTCACTTGCTGTGTAATCTTATTATGCAAAGTTCTAATCTTCACCTAGAATGAATGCCTCTGGGTCAGAATATAGTCATATCAGGGTTTTTGAGGTCATGTTTTGTGATCCTTAGCTTATTCTTCTAAGTAGAGCTGGGATTTAAAGAGTATTCCCCAGACACTGGCAGAGATAGACAGCAAAACCTGCTGCCTTTTTGGAAGACAAGACCAACATGAGGTCCCTGGTAGGATTAAACTTGATTTGTAGCTGTAGGATTTTTTAACAGATGTATTATTGGACAGGGAATAGGGGGCCACCAGCACAGCGAAATTGGATCACAATTGGCATTCTCAGGGAGTCCGCTGGCTGCTAAAACAGCAGCTGCATGTGGATTTGACTTCTTTCAGGTGAAGCGACTTCCAGTCATTTGGAAAGGATGGGATGAAAAGGAACCTTGGTGATAATTTTGATGTCTGCAAGATTTAGTACCAATGTAATGGGATTATCGGTAACACCTTCGCCTCAGCAAAAGCCACCTGGCGCTATAACTGGCAGCAACTGAGAACTAATCCTTTCCCATCTCTTGGATGTCATTCATGAGGCTCAAAGTGGTTTCTACCCTGCTAGCTGTGATTAATTTTATAAACAAACAAACAAAAACCCAGTGATGAAAGCACGGGCTGTGGGAGGAAGAGGGAACAGAAGATACTTGTAATTACGTTTTGCATTTTATTTGCTGTGTATTTTACAACTATACGCTTGTGGTAAAATAATGAAATTGTGTTTTCTGTGAGAAATATGGATGTGTGTGTGACCTTTTTTAACCAATGTCGATTTTGGTAGAAATTTTTCAGCTACCTGCTACATTATATTAGGTAGTACCTGGAGGTAATTAGGTTTTAGGCCGTTCTGCAATAAGGATGTTTATACTGCAGAGACATTCAGTTTTCAAGGGGCCTGTGACTTAAATAATTTGTTTATTGTGCTTAATGGTCTTATGTTTGATCTGGTGGAGTTGCCTGCTGATGGTACTTTGTATTAAAATTGTGTGGTGTGGAAAACTGTTTACTTCCTTGTGATCAACAATATGACATTGTTTCAAAAATAGAATGATATGAAGTTCTCAGAGGAAACAATTATATTTTAACAATGATACTTTTTAACAATTGTAATTTAATGATGCTCAAGTTAATTTTTTCTCTGTGTGGCTTTTTTTTTTTAAATAAACTAGTTTGGTCTGGTGTTTTTTTTACTAAACTTGCTACAACCAATTATTAACTAGAAGTCATTACTTAAAATGACATGGAAACTTTTAGGATTTTGGTTATTTGGAATGAATATTAGATGCCTTAATGTTTAAATCACCCTCCCATCCTCAGGAGGTACCTTGCTGGGGTCAGACTGTATAATCCAGGTATATATGTGTCTTCATTTCAAATTAACTTTCTTGAGTAGTAGTCAAAAGCTTTTATATAAAGCTAAGAATTTTTTTATTGTTATCATAAAATCTGATAAGCTTGAGCATTTAAAAAAATCCTTTGTACTACATTTATAAGAAGGGATTGGTGAAATCTATGTCTCAGGCGTTAAGAATTTATTTTAAGAGAACTGGGAACAAAACTTGAGAGCTCTTCACTCCTGTTCTGTCCTTGTGGTTGCTTTTTTCCCCTGGCAGCTCTGGCAGCAGGCAAAGCTCACTCTGAGCCCTGGGTGTCCCTGAGTAGCTCCCAAATCTACTCGCAAGCATCCCAAGGAAACACATGTCCAGGGTAACTATCCCTAGGTTTGTGTCACCCCAAATCCAAAAGGAAACTGCTTACAATCACTTTGAAACCTGTTTTCTGACATGTATTGCAGTTGTTTGGAGTTTCATAATAAAAATCTGTTAGTGCCAACCTGACAGCTGGTGGCATGGGAGGCTTGCACATTCTTTTGATGTTGTTACTGTTTATTTGTCCCAGTTTGATCTGTGTACTCTGGGCACTGTAATGCATTGTTTGCTTACCTGCAATACCCACAGGTGCCTAAATTCTCTGCAATCTTAATATGTTAATGTCACTATAGGGCACGAAATAACACCACGTGCACATGCTGCTTTGTTCAAGGTAAAAAGAGACTTTTTAATTTCTGATTCCAACGTTTATAGATTTCCAAAAGTGACAGTGGAGTGGAGGGTGAAAGTGCCACCTCTTCAATGACACTGGACAAGCCAACAGTCCATCAAATTTCTCCTCCTCCATAAAAGAATGCAAAACAATAAGTTATTTACAGAAAATGTGTGAGAAAGTTCATTACAAGAATGTAAACATCAGAAGGCTTAGAAAATCTTAAAAAATCAGGGCAACAGTTAATGTGTTAATATAAGGTTTCTGAATAGCATGGGGCAAAAATAGTGGGTACTTGTGCAGTATTTTTCTTTCTTCCTGAACTGAGAAGCAATGTGAGGCTCCTTTCCAGCAGGTGCTGTTAAGAACTATTGATGATGGACTTCTCTCAGATAGTTGTGCATCCACCTGCTTCTGCAACTCAGATTCATCTGCTGTGCCTCCACCTTCCTTTTGTCCCCTGTGTCACAGCTCTGGGCTCTCAGTGTGTCTGGCCTAAGATAAGGCATTGGTTGGTGCACTGGATTGAGAAGAGCCAGGCACTTGTGTGCCTCACCAGGATGGATTCTGCTGAAAGTGCATTCCCCTTCCAGGGGAGCTGTTCCAGTTCCAGTTCCTGCATCTGCCAGTGACACAATTCAAGACTTTTCTGTTTGCCATTGTATTTTGGGTCATTACTGTGCAAATGGTCAGATAGTGAATGATGAATCACAGCTTGGTTTAAGCTGTTCTAGTGCAGAGAAGTTTATGTAGATAAAAAAGGACCTCTCTTTTGGACCTTGTTAGAGAATATTTGCTCCCAATAATGGTTGTCTTTGGAATGTAGTCAGGCAAAACTCCCATTAAATTCTAGTGAGAGCTGTGAAAATAAATCCATGCACTTTCAAATTCCTTCATTTCATGAGTGAAATGTAGAAGAAAATGTCTCTATTTAATTTTGAAATGGGCATATTTTACACAGCATTTTTCCTTTTCTTCTTTTCAACATAGTGTATTTGCTCAGCAAACTCTATTGTCCCATCTTGGTAAAAGAGGGAAATCTTGCAGTGGTTTTAGTTCATGATAAGGCAACATTGAGTTTAAGGGGAACAGGTTTTTTTGCTTCAATTACTTCATTATGTTTGTTTTCCACTTCCTTAAGCGTAACCACCAAATTGTGGTACGGGAATACTTTATTTAGATTAGCATTGTAGGAATTGGATCTCCCAATCAGAGTTGGACTTGAATACTTGGGGAAGGGGGTCAGAAAATGTTTACAGGCTGATGTCCTGCAGAAATTATGGCACTGTGCTGCAGCTGAGAACAGAAGACCTGATGCCTCATTTCTCTATGCACCTCTTCAAGTCTGTCTGATTATTTGTTGGTATCATTCCACTGTTGGGTTTTTTTTAATCTTGCCCACCTGTTACACACTAGAGATGGGTTTGTAAATGTAGGATTGCTTGTTCTCCAACGAATGATCCTCTTGTGTTTTGCTGCAGAGCTGCTGGGCACCGTAGCACTGTAGGATGCTTCGCAATGCCCTAGGAAAAGCCTGCCGGTTTCTGGGCTACACGGTGCAGTATGGCTGCATAGCACACTGTGCCTTCGAGTACCTTGGAGGGATTGTTGTGGTAACTCTTCTTTTTCGTGACATTTAAAAGGAGATAAAACTGTAGTACTGACGGTTTTCTGTGTGATGATGCCAGTATTTCAGGTTTTGTCATTTAACACAATTTATGGGAAGGGGCTCCAGCCTTTGTGAAGGTTATTTGTACTTTGTGTTCTGATGTGTTATTGCTCGAGGTATCACTGAAGTAAATGGGAAACTCTGATTAAGCCTTTTGCACAGAGTCCATCCTTTAAGAAACTCTGGAGTCAGTGATAGGAAATGCCTTTGTTTCACACTCTGGCCAAATTTTTGGGTGTTTTATGCTCCCTGCCCCTCCTCCCCAAGTCCTTAACCTGGCAGATACTGCTGCTGGGCATGGGGGAGTCTGGCTGTGAGCTGCTCCTGCAGCTTCCGTGATGGTTCTGTGTCACAAAGAAGAGAAAAGGGGTAAGCTGGTAGGGCTTTGAGCACTGCTCCTAAAAATTTCCTGGAGATGCAGTGCTGAAGGGAATCAATCAGGACCTTATAGCACCTAGTGCAGTTGAGGACCAACCTCAAGGAAATATAGAACTGTAACAGAGTTAGAGGTGTGTTGCAAGGCTTTGCAAGGGTTCTTCAGGGTGAGAGAGATAGACGAGAGTTTTGACTCTATGATCAGAAGGCTGGATTTATTATTTTATGATATATAATACATTAAGACTATACTAAAAAGGAATAGAGAGAAAAGTTTATAAGCTGCTAAGCTAAGAATACAAAAAGGAATGAATACTAACGGAGCTCTCTCTGATGTGTCTCAGAGAAAGCTTGTCTTTGATTGGCCCTTAATTGTACACAAGTAACATGGGCCAATCCCAGGTGCACCTGTTGCATTCCACAGCAGCAAATAACTATTGCTTACATTCTTCTTCTGGGGCCTCAGCTTCCCAGAGGAAGGAAAAATTCTAAAGAAAAGATTTTTCACAAAAGATGTCTGTGACAGAGGTGCTCTGGGGGCTCCCCTCAGCTTTGAAATGCATCACACATTCCATGGAGGAGCTCACTTTGAGTTCTCTACATTCCACCTTCTCTAATTTATTAGCATATCATTTAAATGTAAGTTTATTTTAGAAAGAAGCAGTTTGAAACAGTAATTTTTTTCTCCTTTCCTTTTCATTTGCAGTGCTCTGGACCTTCCATGGAACCAACCATTCAGAACTCTGATGTTGTCTTTTCAGAGAACCTCAGCCGCCACTTTTACTGCATCCAAAAGTATGCTGCTCTCTTGGGAACACATCTGACATTCCTTCTGCCAGGGCTTGCCAGTAACCACCTTCTGCCCTTGATTTTTAGTGTATTTTTCTGCTTCTAACTTGTAATTTTTCATTGTGTCTAAAGGATCTTAAAGTTACCAACAGCCCAATGAACAACTTGTCAAAATTCAGTTTGGATTTAGTCTGTTGTCACTGTTGCAGCTTTGTCCAAAAAATAGAAAAAAATCCTTTTTTTCCTCCCCTGAATAATTCTAATGAGTGAATGTAACTTCTTCCCTAAGCAGTTTGGTCTTGAAAACCAGCTACGGGTATTACTGGTCTCAGGTTGTAGTCTTAAATGTTTTATAAATGATCTCAATAACAAAAATTCACTCAACTTTTAAAACTCTGTGAAATTACACTTGAGTAAAACTGAAGAAACCAAAATTGTACACAAGAATTTTCAGCACAACGGACTATCTTTAAAGGGTGTGAATATTTTTGGAGTAGATACATGGTTGCTTATGTACTCAGTTAGTTTGTAACTAGAGTTTTTCTGTTTGTTTTTTTTTTCCTCTCAGAGGAGATATTGTAATTGTGAAAAGCCCAAATGACCCCAAATCAAATATCTGTAAAAGAGTAATTGGCTTGGAAGGGGATAAAGTCTGCACAAGCAACCCTTCAGATTTCCTTAAGAGTCACAGCTATGTAAGTATTGGAGTTTCTTCCTGTGTAAATTAATGATTACTTAAGTAGGCCTGCTGGTCTGTAAAGGATTTGCAATAGTTGAGGATAATAATAAATCATAAATTATAAATTAATTATTATTCTTGATTATCTACAGTAAAATGTTGTACTTTTAGACTGTTTGTGCCAAGCTGTCTTCCTCTGCCTTTTGTTTCTGTAGGAACTGTAGACAGATAATATTTCTGCTGTGCCCTTTGGAAGAATACTCTGAAATTCTCTGCATAAAGTTCAGTACAAAAGAGAGGTGCAGGTGTTGGTGTTCAGGCAAAACTGTTCCTGCATTTTAAACACTAAGAAGTGAATATTTGACTCTGCAATAGCTTTGCAGATTTTTCTTTCAAAATTATACTTTAGTGTATCTCTATTTCAATGTAGCAATATTTTAATGTTCCTCAGTATGGTTGGAAAAGTAGAAATTTTCCTAACTTGGCCAAAAAGTCAGGTGATGCAATGAAAAGGGAAAAATAATCTCAATGTTCATTTGTCCTTATGCAGATAGACTTCACAGAAGTTTGGGAAGATCAGTGACAAAATGTTTTTTAGCAACTTTTTTTAGGCCATCATGAGAAAAATCCTCAGGAATGATGATCAGAGAAGAATGTAGGTTTTTTCTTGTCCTAGAAGTGTGTTTGACTGTTACCTCCATTCAGCACTTGTGGAGCCATCAGATATTCCCAGGTGTCTTGAATCTTTAAACACAGCTGTGATTTTGCCCTTTCATATCCACTCCATCCTCAGAATAAGAAGAATGAGCATGTGGCCAAAGTCCTGTGCTGAGAAGGTGGAGAATTTTATGGAACACTCCTTGCAGGCAGCTCCAGTTTGTGACACACAGATCCTGTAAGAATTTAGCTTCCATAAAGGCAGCCTCCTTCACCAGGGAGTCTCCAGCTAGCATTGCTTCATTTGTAGTGAGCAGCTGAAGTGGAGTTTGGCATTACTTAAAGCAAAAATTCTTGTTTAGCACCAGGAAGTAAGGACATGAGTCACACCCTGCTCTGAGGGTTTGAATTTGTTCCTTTCACTGCAGTGTTGAGGTAGCACACTATTGGAATATGAATCCCAGTATTACCAGTTAGATTGTGCCTGGGCCAGTCTGACCCTCACTGCTGGGCCAAAGGCAGCAACTGTGGTGTAATCACCCCAGAGATACCTTGGCTTGCTGGTGGTTGCAGCTGGGCACTGAACAAGTCCAGGCTTGCCAGGAACTCCGTTTACCTCAGGAGGAAGAGCTTCTGGCGATGGTGAAGAGAAAAGGAGATGGATTCTGCTGGAGGGTTTAATCCAGAGGTTTATTCCATGGTTACAGAGGTCTGAACGTGGGCAACTGCTCCAACAGAACACTGACCGCATGGCCTGATTCCTTTTTAAGCTCCCGGGGCAGGGGGAGGGGAGGTACAGGTGAGCCACCAACCAGGAGAGAGGGGCAGGGTCTCAGGGGGGGATGACACCCAGACAGGCCAATGACCCCTGGGTCTGAGGGGCATCCTTTGAACCTGACCAACCACAGACGCCTTGCTGGAATGGTAAGCCTGATTGACAGGACTCACTCAGCAAGGGGGCGAGGGGGAAGAGGTATAGGCACCCCTGGGAGGTGACCTGGAAGTCTAAAATGGGACATTACAGCACACTGCAACAGCACACCTTGGGCACCTGCCTGTAACCTGCACTGCTGCTGTCATGCCAGAGCCCCTGGAGCTGCTGTTCTTAGGTTCTTAGACTTTGCTCACTTGTGGGCATAAAGAAGCAGCTCATTCTCTGTTACATTTTGAAGGAGAGGAGAAAACATTTAGTTTTTCCACAAATCAAATTGTGTTAACCTACCAAAACCCCCAAAGAACACCAAGCCACCTTTCTCACCAAGTTAAAGGAATCCTTTAGCTCTGGTGGACCTCATGATTGTCATGGAATACACATTTCCCAGAGGACACCAACCTGAACTCTGTGTACACTGACAGAAGACACAAACTGCATTTCTCTGAGCATCTTTTTCCTCACTTGTCTTAGTCTTGAAAAGGAAGTTCAGGAAAGATTTGTACTTAAAACAGGATATCGGCTTTTCTGGAAACGCTGAAGTGACCAAGTGAATATTCAGCAGAACAATTTCTGCCCTAGTGCAGGGTTTCTTGTCTCCAGTTTTAATCCAAAATATGAGGAGAAGGAGCAGATGGGGAATGCAGAGTCCATTTCCTGTTTTCATAAAGGCTAATGTGTGGAAATACAGAGAAGGGACAAGCTTTTGTAATTCTTACACCATAAATTGTATCTAGGAGTAGAAATTATCTAAATGGAAGTGCTCTTGTGCCTGATACCTGTTTTCCTTCTACCTTTAGCGCTTGGTAAAGAGGTAGATCTTAACATCTGTTCAGGAGAGACTTCCTTTACAGAAGGGTAAATTCTCAACATGGATATCTGTACTTTATGTTCATAACTGAGGCTGGATTACTCACCAAGTAAATTGTTGGGGAGGGGAAACATGCCATGTATTTATGTTTAGGCAATTGCCTCATCAGATTCCTTTTAGTGAATGCACTTTTAACTCAAACACAGAATTCCTCACAGCAAATAATAACGGCAGCAGATGTACAGAGAACTGGATGTTTTGTTGATACTTGCCTGAGGTGGATTTTGGAAAAACAAGATTGTCCAAGCTGAGGAAAGGCCTGGGCTGTGGTTCCAGCTGGCCAGGAGTGCTGCTGGGGGGGTCTCTGTGCCAGGGGAAGGTGCCACTCCTTAGGTGAGCAAAGCCTGAAAAGTGTCATGAGTTTTGCACTCTATCTTTGGCTACTGACTGCCTTTTTTCAGACAGGAAATCTGAGTGGTGTGTGAATGCTGTGACTCCAAAGTGTGTAAGGTCAGAGCAGTCTTTGTTTTTATTACAGTGAGCTGCTCAGCTTTCCTTGAGGGCTTATCTCCTATTTTGGGAAGTTTCTGTCAGTCATGTCTGCAGACTTAGACAGTAAATGGGAATATCAGATGCCAGCAATATTGCCAAATTGGGCAGCTCAGACCCCTGCCTCAGTCTGTGCTGCTGGTTGCCAACCGGTGGATAGGTTTTCTGAGCTAGCCAGTTCCTGGAAGTGGCAGAGTAATGGCCATACAGTGGGAAAACTATCTGTAAGCACCTGCTTCAGATTTGCCCCAAAAGGAGAATCCTTAGGAATTGTTCTTAGTCTGTATTGACTGTGTCATTGGTAGTGTTGGCATATTTTACAGCATTGAAGTTTGGGATTTCTGTGCTTAGAAGCATTGTCACACACAATTCTTACCCTGAAGCCTGAGAGAATGCTAAAATCAGATCCTATTGAGGTGCTGGTTCATTCATGAATATACTCAGGATGCCTTTATGTGTATGGAGAACTCTGTTTACAATTTGCTCTCTGTAAAATTACACAGATGAGATACATTATTGCTGCAAACAACCAAGGAGATACCTGGAGATTAAAAAAAATCCAAGCACAACAAACCAACCTTCCAAGCTATAATGAAAAGAAACAAACAAACAAAAAAAATCATACATGAGCTGAATAAGTTGTTCTGAAAAGAGGTATTTCAGCTGAGCAGAAATGCACAGCAGCAGTGGCAGTTAAAATACTCTTGCTGCTCTATTTAACTGAAGGAACACATCATAAGAGAAAATTATTTATGTCAGAGTGCACTAAAGCTAAAGCTGTATCAGAAAGCTGTCTTTGATGGAGTTGGATTGCAGGCTGATGGAACTAATGCCACATATAAAACTGAGTGTATAAATTAGGCCTGTGCTGAAATTACAGTGTAAGTACATACTATTGGATGTACTTAAACTGTACATCCAATACTATGTACTATTAGTATTACTATGTACTATGTACTACATAAATACTATGTACTATTAAGTACATACTATTTTTCTGTAGAACAATAATTAGGGAAATCTTCCCATTTACATGAAAGTATAATGAAATTCCTTTTTTAAATAGGCTGCTATGGTACTAAAAAGTTAGGAAAAGGTAGTTTTCCTTTTTTTTATATCTGATATGGAATGTGAGCATCAGGATGGCAGTTTTGCAGGGCTCTTCTTTGGTTTTGTGCTAAATGTACATTTACAAATAGAAACAAGTGTATTTGCTGTAATAAACATTTAAGAATGCATAATGTATTTTTTCTCTAACAGAGGCAATGTAGTATGAACCCAGAAGTTAAAAAGGTAAAGCACTAATGCTGTGTTCAGAGCTAGTTTCACTTTTTAAGAGATATCCTATTTTATTCATTTAACTATATGTGGTATGAACCCAGAAGTTAAAAAGGTAAAGCACTAATGCTGTATTCAGAACTAGTTTCACTTATTAAGAGATATCCTATTTTATTCATTTAACTATACAGCGATTAATGAGGATTAATAAGGAAATTAATCACAGTAAACCCCTGAAATGATCCTAAAAAAAACCCTACAGCTTCAAGGTTATTTTTCATATTTAAGCTTTTATTTCCTGTTTAAAAAACTCTTAATACAGGTTTATAATTCAGTATAATACAAAGTATCTTATTGCTCTGTTTGAATTTGCTTTAATGCCATTTACTTTAGCTTTAATTTCTTTACGTACCATATGTTCTTGTGCTGCAGCTCCTATTTACAGTGTGAAAAAGTGAGGGCTAAACCATCAGAATCAAACAGCTTATATGTCATAAACCACCAATATGCTGAGCCTTTGAGGCACTTAAACAAAAGTAGTCCCTAATAATGTCACTTAATAGAGGCAGAGTCTGTAAATAAGGAACTGCCCCGGTGATAAAAAGCTGAGATACAAATCCATATCTCAGCAACACCGTGCTGGTGATCAATCAGCTCCCACTAATGCTCCAGCCTGGCTGCTGGGCCAGTGTTTGCCTTGTGCTGCAGCAAAATGAGCCTTGCCACGGAGATGGCACCTCCTCATCCTGTGGGAGCTCCAGAGCCAACAGAATTCCCAAGATAATGCACC